AATGTATAAGCCCATTAAGCCCTCAAAAGCAGGAGGAACAACCCAACATAGATCAAATAGATCAATGAGTTTGGTCCATAAAATCTATGCAGCTTTATAATGTAAAAGTAGATGTGAATGCATCTCTCCTTTCTAGCACGGCATAGATATCATGAGGCAGTGCATGGTGCAACCTACGAACTTGAACATCTCTTTTTTTTCTTTTTTCCGTAAAAGAAGAATTTATTTAGTCCAAGAGATGAAGGTATATGGACTTGTAATATCTCATTAATGTTAAGCTTTCGATGGATAGCTTCCCATATTGAAAAGTACTATTAAAAGAAAAAGACAAAAGTATATGGAGGGATGATAAATATCCTCCTCTAGAAGTAAGAAAAAGGGGAAAAAATTAAATAATCCTTTCAATAGAAGAGATTGACTCAATCACTTTACGAAGTAGATAAAGAAAACTCCCCCTCCTCCCCAACGAAAAAAAAAACGACCCTTAAAGTAAAACCAAAAGCATCATTTTATCTTCAAGAAGCTGGGATGATTGAGAATGATCGCTAATTATTCTTTTCTGAAAGGAAATTTTTCATCCATAGGACTCAAAACTAGGAACTTAACATGCACCGAATCTATCGAAGAGTTTATTTAATAATTCCTAGCCACATTTAGTGAAGGAACAAGTGATTATTGGACTGATAATTTGGAGCAGATTGGTGTTAATTGGTGAGACAAATTCGATTAGGCTCATGTATCATGTTATTTGTGGGACAGTCTATATAAACACTGTTAAATTAAGGGGCTTTCTCTTCCTAAAAAGAGCTAGTGAATTAGTGAAGGCTATATTTTGAGAAGGATGATGGGTAAGAAACTCAAAGAAGGATTTGCTGATATTGACACTCAAGTGATCTAATGTCCATACTCTGCAAACCAATCTAAAAGAATGAAAGAAATCGGGGAGGTTAAGCAAATCATAAGAATTATGGCCATGAAAATAATTCAACAATCAAGAGATAGAGTGATGCAAAATGGGAAGATCCTAAAGTGGGTATATTTAATAATAAACGATGTTTGAGGGTAAAGACAAATTTTGATTTTATCAAGGATAGGTGGCTGCATTTTTTTGGTACTATTGTACTTGGCCACAATCTTGACTTTTTTGAGGATTTAGGTTTGATTGTAGATATTCTCACTGAGCTGTAAATCCTTTTTCTTGTATATGGTTTACGCCCCTTTGGGGTCCATTTTAATAGCATTTATCTCAAAAAAAAAACAATCTTTATGTAATCATAATTTTTATATAAATAGGTGGAGATGGATGAATATTACTCTCCCTATAGAGGCAACCAACTTCCTCCAAATTTCGGAAGCCACCACTCGTAATGTGAGAATAAGTAACTGTTAGTCTTGGAATCCCTAAAGCAGATAACTCAAACATATGGAGAAATAGCTTTATTTTGAACTTCGCCTAAGTCCTTAGTGCTAGTCGTATTAAGTATTGCAATCTAGACGATACTTCGACCTTTGAGGGAACTTTCACCTTCTAGAAAGAGTTAGCAAAAACTAAATTCCAATGATAGATTCTAGACTTTTTAGAGACCATATTAATTTATCAGGGTTAGGAGAAGTGACTCAAGCATGGGGATAAAGTTAAGATTAGAACCCAAAGATTCTAGACAAGAAACTAGATTTGTCTTTCATAATTAGAAGCATGGAAAGATTCATTGTGGTCATTAGGGCTATTAAAACAAAGGTATCTCTGTCATTTAAGTGTTTGAAAATCATTTAATTTGTTTGAAAATGGAAATCCACCTCTAAATAACATGAGGACTTTGTTGAGAGAAAAAGAAGCAATACGATGATTATGACGAGTCTATATATGAGGAAAATGATGGAGAAAGAATACTATCCTAACTAGGGATTGTTGTAGAATAAAAAATGAGAACCATGTGCTTACATTATGTGCCTTGTATTTTGTTTTGATGCTTATATTAAGTTGATGTATATATACTGTGAAAGAATTAATTCCGGCAGTTATCTCAAAACAGAAAGTAATAAAAAATTATTAAATCTGTTATTTATATTCAAGTAATCCATGTAGAAACCAACTAGGTTGAAAGTGTAGATCACATACAAGTTCTCTGTATACCTTGTGTTTAAATTTAATTAATAGAAACAATGCGGTGGTTAGGATTCGAACATTAGATTTTGTTTTCAGTACTGTGATAGTCAATTATTCCAAAAGCTTAGCTTATAGGACCTCACTATACTATTCATGTTGCATATATATATTGGCATGAATTTACATATTCATATATGTATTGACATGTAAAATTGGGTATAAATTGATTTGTACTTTCAGTTATGGTATTATAAATATTCTTCATTAATTTCTTATTATTTAAGATTTCCTTGGCAGTATGTTGGTCTTGCTTTTTTAAATTTATTTATCGAATAAATTATCAGTTTGATACATCTTTGGGTTTGACTGGATCTTTCTTTTGACAACGAAGCTTTGTGTAGATAACTACTTTGATTGGACCATAGGCAATATATATATCTATGATATACTCACATCGTTGATCTCAGTCATATTGTGTTTGTTGCTTTTGTTCTTGTTTCTTTTTGTAGTATGTCTGATTTGCCAGAATAGTGTAACTGTAAACTAGCTCAAAGTATGATACTAACAAAAATGTAAATCAGGCATGACACACAAAAATGTGGTGTATTACGTGGTTTGTGCCTGTGATAGGCTGATATTTATTTCAAACTTTTTGAAGGCCTGAATTTTCGTCATACTCTATATCCTTCATACAAAAGCAACCGTCCGCCAACACCTGATACCATAGTTCAAGGGCTCCCATATCTGAAAGCGTCAATCAAGGCTATGTTCATTAAGGTGATAGAGGTAAATATGCATGTCATTTAAGGCACACATAATTAGTTTGTCCTGGTGACAGGTTGTGATAATTTATGAAAATATCCAAAAGGCAGGTACCAGGTGTGGAAGCAGATGATGTGATTGGAACATTGGCTGTGAGGAGTGTTGATGCTGGTTTCAAGGTAATCATCATCTTTATTTGACAAAAAAAGATAATAGTTTTTGGCTGTTTTGGAAGAAGTGTCAATTAGTATAAAGCCAGTTTCCTTTTGCGCAAGTAAAAGCAATTTAATTCATTGTGGCTGTGGGTATCTCTCCTCCTCTTCAAATGATAGAGGAAGAGAAGGAGAAATCATTAGTTTAACATTAACCGGGGAGCAACAAAAGTACTGTCATTGAGATGGAGCTATATCTGGGGTTTACTGTTTCCAAGTACAAAACATTTTAGATTTTCTTTTATTCTAAATTCTACTGATTGATGCTTAATTTTCATACTCTCTGCATTTGCTGGTGTTGGAATTATCTCTTTTGAAAAATAAAAAAGATTTTGCTTGCTTTTCAAGTTATTTGGCAAATGCCCTTTGGATTAGTTGGCTGTGGATAAACAGGTACCTTACAGAAATACCTCATCTTTCTGTCCAATTGGTTATTTAATGATTGACGTGGAGATTGCTGATCTATGTAAAAAAAAAAAAGGTGGTGCCTTGACCATAATTGAGTGGTGCTCGATGCTAAGAAAAGACCATGAGAATGCATAAAATCATGCCTGGTTTGTCATCTGTTGATGCATAAAGCAGGTTGAAAGTGCACCTTTTGAAAGTATATTTGCTGTAATATGCCAAAGTATCTGTTAGCCAGAGATGTCTTTGTATGCATTTGCCAATGTAACTTTAAAATCTGGTTTGGTGTGTGCCTTCTGTTGGTTTTCCTCTGCTGGTTCTACTTGCTTCTTGTACTGGTATTTGCAAAACATATTAGATGCCCTAATTTATCTTTCACTGGAACTGATTCTGTGGATCTCCTTTCTGTGCTGAAAGATTGGCTTTGGTTCCTATGGTATGAGCTACTTCTTTCTTCATTCTACTTATATGGTTGGCAGGTACGAGTTGTCTCTCCGGACAAAGATTTTTTTCAGATTATCTCTCCTTCGTTACGTCTTCTACGAATTGCACCACGTGGCTTTGAGTTAGTACGCATTCAGTCTACTATATGATACTGCATTGTTTACTAATTGCCTTAAAATTTTAGGTCTGAGTAACAAAGAAATCTTTTCAAGGGAAAAATGTAATAGGAATATTTTCCAGTTTGGGACATTTTCCAGTTTGTCTATTGTTTTAGTTTCTGCATGTATCTGTTTTCCCTTTTAGCTCTTTTGTAATAGATAATTGAGTCATGTATTTATATCCTTTAAGATTTTTAATGTTATTAATATTATTAATTTTGCTGCTGTTGTTGATGTTGTTTGATGATTGGACATTGTAGATACATGAAAGCAATCCTTAATGGGTTATAAATATAGAAAACAGCTATGCTCCTAATTTATGTGGAAGAGTTTGTAATATAGTTTTATTGGGGAGAAAGCAGTATATATAGTATGGTTGACAAGGCACCATGGGAATGTTGTTTTTGCACAAGAAAAAAGATGCATAGCAGGCTCTCCTTGGGAAAGATTGACTCCTGTAAATTCTGTGAGCATCCTTGATACAATGTAGTGATAATAAATAGTTAATCTGTATGCAGTCAACTCTGTCATCGTGCTATGTGAATAAATTTTTACCTTTTTTCTCTCAAAAAAGGCACGAGATCTTCTTAACTTTTTTTTCTGTCACTTATGTGCTATTTAAATGTTATATTGTGCTTCTTTCGTGATTTTGTAGGAAGAAGAAATTGAACCTGCTCATTCTTTTATAACTCTTGATTTGATTAATGTTTTTGTTTGGCTAGGATGGTCTCATTTGGAATGGAGGATTTTGCTAAAAAATATGGAGATTTGAAACCTTCTCAGTTTGTTGATGTTGTTTCTCTTGCGGGTGACAAATCCGATAACATTCCAGGTTATTTCATTTTTCACTTTTTTGACAAATCAAGATGTTAGTAGGTTTTGGAGACTACAATTTGAAGGATTTTTTTTGGTTGTTTAAATGTGATAATGCTTGCTATAATTAATGAGGCATTCACATTGAAAATAGGAAAACTAAGGTTTCCTTTTAGCGTGATCCATCACCATTTCCAATTGTGGTCCATGGGATCAAAGCTAGATTTATTTTCTTGGAAATTTGGTGCTTTCTGTAGCCAATGGGGTATTCAATACGGACTCTGGAAAGTGTTCTTTTCCAGCTACAATACATTACAACCTAAGAAAAAGAGCATATCTTCATAGAAAGGTTCTATCATATACCTTGCCTTAATTCAGACTGTGGAATGAATGAGCCTAAAGAAAGTAGAATATTAGAAATTGCTTTAGGAAGGAAGAAGTATTGAGATCTTTAAAGCATATCTCTTTCTTATTTCACTTTGGCATCCGAAAACACCTTAAGATTAAGCAATTGATGCATTGATGCTATATAAATGTAGGAGTTGAAGGCATTGGAGAGGTTTATGCTTTGCAACTGATCACTAAATTTGGTACGTCTGTTTCTTTCAAAGAAAAATGTTGTAGGTTCATATTAAGTTTGCTTTTGTTTCATGTTGCTTTGCATGCATGTTAAATGATTGTTAGTAAATTGTCGGCTAAAGTCTTCTCTATTTTTCCTTACATCATTGCTTTCCCTTGTTGCTTGTGGAATCACCCTGATCTCCTTGTCCAAGCTGAGAATTTTGACATTCATTTTCTTTTTAAATGTGTTCAGTTCCTCTTTTATGTTTTTGGATGATTGTGCAAAAGATGAAATAATTGACCTCTTCAGATTAGCATAGGCAGAACTTTTTGTTAGTGTTATGCATTTTTAATTTTAGATTTAATCATACATCCTTTTTCTATAAACAATATAGTTCTAGGTTTATGCTATGCATCAACTTTGGATGAATTTATCATATAATATTCATTTTCATTTAGCAGATTGGCTAACTAATGAAACGGAGTATAGTCCCATTTCATAGCCTTTTTAGTTCTTTTCTGAATTCTGTTGCTTCTTGATTGCCTTTTCTTCAAATTCTATTTGTTGATACATGATTTTGTTATTTATCATTTTTCCATGGACAGGCACATTAGAGAATTTGTTGCAATCTGTTGATCAAGTCAAAGAGGAGCGTATCAGGAAGGTAGTTGCTAATTTGTGATGCAGAGCGCATGACTTAGACGCTTGCTATCAGTATTTATTTATTTTCTGCTTTTCCTTGGAATGGGAAAGGTTCAATCAGGTCCGCCTTTTGATGCTTTGGAAGTGCCTTTTGATGCTTTTACATAGGGAAATCATGTTATGAAGGTGTGGTTAGTTTTTAAAAAAGATAGAAGCTTTTCCATATGGAACTAATTGTATCCTGAAAATTGCAAGTCTTAGGTTAAACTGTTTTGGTTTCAACCTCACCTGTATGAGATTATGACAATATGGCTGTTGATATTTATTGAATATCCATTGTAAGTGGATATGACATAGTGCTATGATCTAACATGCCTGTGGATTCAGGTTTACCCATAAGACATAACTCTGGACAGAGATTCATATGCTTCTTTTGTCAGATATCATGTTTCAAATTTTCTTGCTTTTGCATTTTGCAAATCCAGGAATACAGATACCACTAAGTTTTACTGTCATTCATGCGGACTCTTCATTTACATTGCTTATATTATTGCCAATGGAGGATTATAAATTGACTTTGCTAGGATGTTTGAAGTTCTTCTTTGTTTTTGGGTAGAGTGCGGTGCCGGATTGATAACTTTTGATGTGTCACGCTAAGTTTTGATGCCATTCATGTGACCTTTTCATTTATATTTCTTATTATTGCCAACAGATAGCTTTAAAACAATTTTGCTGCTTGCTGTTGTATTTGAAAATAAATTGTAAAATATTTGCCACTATTTGTCTTTGTAAATTCTATTATCACTTCCTTTTGCTTTGACTATTTTGGTGATGGCTTGAGTCAATTCATGATCAATCTGGTTATGCTACCAGGATTCAAATGTAAGGTCATATTAAGAATAAGATCATAATTGGCTGCAGTAAATCTTGATAAAACTTATTGCCAAATTAACAGTGTCTTTGCTTGAGAGAATCTCCTAAACGTAAATATTTGTTAGAGAGAAGGATAAATGTCCGCAAACATAAAAATCTCTTCTGATTTAGTAGCATATTGTTCTTTCAGTCTTTATTCCATGTACTGATCTCTGTCTTTCCTTCCTTGCCTCTATGTAAGGATTGTGGCGTCGAAATTGTATCTTTAAGCAACATAGTGAACTAGTAGTAGCGCACAATCTTCTTATCTTTTTTCTACTTTTCTTGTTTCTGCAGGCCTTGCAAACAAATGCTGATGTAGCTATCCTGAGCAAGAACTTGGTAATATTTTCAGATCTTATTGTTTGTTTCTGGGAATGAAACTTCTTGTGAAAAATGATTACTTTCAGTTGAAAGCCAACTTCTTGTCCAATTTATTAAGTTTTTTTTCTTCTTAATATTGTATTTTTTATAGTCCATATCCTTAATAGTTACTATTTTGGAATCTTGCCATAAATGGAGCAGCAGTAGAGATTAAGTAGTAATAACTTTAATCCTCTTCAGTTACTGCTATGTTCATACTAGTAAATTTCTGATGGGACCTTCCTTAAGTCAGGAAGTTGACTCTCCTGACAGTTGGTTTTGACAACATGCAAAATAGTCAAATCTGTCCCAGCCATCTTTTAGTAGTTCCTCACAAATTTTAAAGGTGGTTAGATGGGTGCTACTCAGAAAAGAAAGTTTAAGGTGGGTGGAATCCCTTGTTGACATGATTAACTTTGTCGATAGCAACTAATTTGGCTTAGTCAGGCACCTGCATTTTCCACAATAACTTTAAGGCTATGTTTGGAATAAATGAACTTACAAAATTATTTGTGAATCTATGTTTACTTAACTGTGAGATGGTGGAGATCCTTACAACATGATAACATTTGAGGTCTTAGACAAATTTAAGTGGTATCGATATAAACACATTCCAAATTTCACCAATTTTATTAAAATTTGGAATATCTTGTTGCAATTCCATTTAAATTTTTCTAGGAGAACAATTTTATTATTTGTAAGGAAATTCCTCCTCTCATTGTTGAAATAAATGCAGATTTGTAATAAATTTCACAAGTAAAATTCATTTGTTCCAAAGACAACCTAATTCTTCTGATACTAATCGGTTCTTGAATTCATTTCTCTAGACAATAGAATATGGGTGCTTGAATCTTTTGCTAGAAATCTTTACCCTTGCCTCATTATTAAGTTGCCATAATTCTGTAATATTCCCTCTCCTGTTTCAAATTGTTCATTTTCTTAATAGATTTAAATGCTTTATATTTAGAAGAGAAGGCTTGAACCTATTTATTGATTCCATATTTGAAAAAGCTTTTACATTGTGGCAGGCCCTGCTACGATCGGATCTACCCTTCTACATGGTACCCTTTATGACAAGAGATCTCACATTTAAGAAGCCAGAGGTTTGTGTAATTGAACCCCAAGAAAGGTGTTTATGATTACTACAATATATAAGTAGTTAACAGCTGAGAATTTCTAATGGTGAAAGTTAAGAGCTGAACCATTAGTTCTGATTTTTATTGTTGGAATTTAACGTTAAAGATCTTCAAATCTTAATACAGTGTTCAAACTTTTTATGGTTTAACGAAACGGATAAGTATCTTCTTTTCACTGTCTTCTTTTTCCTATTAGCATTTCGCTTAAATGCAAAATCAGATTGATAGAAGGGAGAAGAAAAGAACATCAACGTCAATTACAACATTTCTCTTCAAATGAATAAATATAGAAAGAAGTTATGACATGATATCATTTTTAACTTTTGCTATTAGTGTTCCATCTCAAGGCATTATACATCCCTGGAACTTTTTGATGAACTTTCATTGGCTTCTGGGCTGTATTTTTGTGGATCCAAGGCAGTCTTTATGTCTTTCAAAGTTTGAGCGTTAGGCAGTTTTTCACACATCTACCTACTAATACTATAATACAGGTCTTGAAAAGTGAGAAGCAAGCCTGCTTTTTTATTCTATGTGCTTTTTCTACCTATTACTTGCTTCTCTTTATATTTACTTGTGTTCTTAAAATGGTGTCACCTTGGATACATTTGGTTTTGTTTATGCATCCGCGCAATGTTAATTGATACAAGTAAAAACGAATTTCAAAACTGACTGTGATTTCTACAGGACAATGGAGAGAAATTCACAAGCCTCTTGAATGCTATCAGTGCTTATGCAGAGGGATTTTCAGCTGATCCAATAATCAGAAGAGCGTATAATTTGTGGAATAAGCTTGAAGCGCGGTGATTTGTTGTGTTGTGCATTCAGAAGCAAAGTGTTTGGTAGAATTCCACAGTTGAAAATTCAATATTTTGAGCAATTTTGACATGAAGGATGTTGATATTATGTGAACAGGATCTACCATTTACTGAGAATCCATAGATTAATAGAAAGTTATTATTGGTCCCTGAAATTCTTTCTGCATTAATGCTTTTCCTTTTCGCATAGAGAATAATTCAGAAAAAGTTTTACTAACATGTTTATTGTGGAATTTCTGTCCTTGTATATTATTGTGGCAAAGAAATTGAAGCAAAAGCTCTTCTAAGCTAATAAAGCATGGGTGTATTATGTTTGGATGTATGTTTGACTAATTTCTGAACCAGGTTGAGAAATTAATATATTATTGTGGCAAAGAAATTGAAGCAAAAGCTCTTCTAAGCTAATAAAGCATGGGTGTATTATGTTTGGATGTATGTTTGACTAATTTCTGAACCAGGTTGAGAAATTAATATGGCATATTTATTTCCTACATGCTGCGTGATAACTGGTTGAACAGCTGGAACGAGATTGATGCAAGTATTTTTGACATAAAAAATACCTTACAAACTTTGAAACTTGTAATCTAATTGTGTTTATAATAAGAAACTCAAAGATTCTGTAATTTACATAAAAAATAATAATAAAATTTTTGTTCAATAAAGTCCAAGAAAGTCACCGTTTGTGCAAGTAGTCATAAAGGATACATGAATGATTATAAGACTCATGCAGGATGGAATATTAGAAAAATATATCATTTGTATATATGCTTGTGTGAAAGAACAAATGATCTTATCTTTAATCCAGGACGTGATTTCTGTACTCGGAAATAGATTACTGCCTTCTCTCTAACAATCAAGTCATACTTCAGGGTGGATTTGATCCAGATGTTTCAGCTCCAGCTTCTGTTTCCACTTTTTCAAGTTCCAGTACAGCATTAAATCCAAAGTCATTTCCCGGAGTGAAGGACTTTTTGAGTTCTTCTGCTGTCTGGGTTGTGTTAGTTTTATTGTCCTTAACGTTCAGATTTTCCTGTTTTAGATAGAAAGATACTTAAGGTTGTAGCAACAACTGACCTGGTAAGAAATATGTATGTAGAGTTATGAGCAGACGGGTATTACCTTCTTTACATAATCAGCTATGGTTGTAGTCACTATTTCTTGTATGACAAACTTGGTGACACGATCCTCCCCAAGTACTTGTAAGAGGAAACTCTTCGGAACCTATTGAAATTACAAAATCAACCATATTCTAAAATATGTGAAGACAACATGAGAATTTTATTTCATGAATTTTATTGATCAACTAAGATTTCCATCAAACAATTAATAAGAATTTAATATATCATTCTAATATGTACGTGTGATGCAAAATAGTTTTTTAAGACAACAAACGTAAATTCTCAATGCTACGTAAATGTCTCAATCCTACATAAAGACGGTGTAAGTTGTTGCAGAAGTCAAGACTTGTGGGTCATTTATACAAAGGTAAAGTTTTCACAACACTTGGGAAGACAGCAATTTAATAGATATAGGACCTATCGGTAAAACAAAACCCTAGATATGGGACCTACCCTATTTGTTATCACAATATTTGAAACATTTCATAGGACCTATCAATCAGAGCCTCATGAAAGGAATGTATATAACCTAATGCTCTGATGACAAATATGTCACACTCCGAATCAAGATTATGACTTGGAATGCCACTAAAAAGAACAAGGTGTAAAAGGTTTATCCAAAACAAGTAAGACAAATAATGCTACAAAATGTAAAATTGACCACTAAAATATATACACACAGAAAAAGCGTCAGAAACAAAGTGTTTGTAAACTAAGTCATACTGTGGTATCCACACATTCCTTTATTAATAAAAGTGTTATATATGAGGCTTAACTTTTATCATAAAATGGTCTCTAAAGAAAAAACACAACATTATATTTAGATGGTTTCTTGTGTTTTCTCTTTGAAGACCATTGTATGATAACAATTAAACCTCATAGATAACACTTTTGTTAACAAAGGGATGCATGTATACCACAGTATGTTTGCGACCTAGTTTGCAGACACTTTATTTGTGACGTTGCTTCTCTGTGTGTGTATGTATATTAATAGTTTGGTTTTGCCTCTAGGTGTATCACTTGTTTTTGAATAAACCTTCTATACACTGTTTTGTTAGTTGCATTTCAAGTCAGACTCTTAATTTGAGGTCTGACAGATCAAACTGTCAGAGAACTATTCCAAAAAAAGAGGTCAACTAAATCTTAAAAAATGGAACTATTTCAATATGCTAAATAGGCCTATTGAACTAGTTCACTCTCAATCAGAGAAGAACAGAAAATATGAATGGTAGTTTAACTCAGAAAGCATGGATACCTTTGTTGTCTTTCCTGCATTAGCCACCCCATGCACATGCAAAATGTAATATAATTAGCATTTGCAGAATCAAAGGTTGACATATACAAAAGCTGCATATGAAATAAATTATGAAGAAAAGGAAGATGATGAAGTACAATCAGAATAAAATAAAAGTTCAGGAACTAATGCAATAGGTTTCAAAAAATCATTTTGATTCCACATAAAGTGGGAAATCAGGTAAGAAAAATGTCTGATCTAGTAATCATATGCCATTTCTAAGATCATGGCCAATGAATTTTGATTTGAAGCATCACTTCCAATTTATTATAGTTTTGAGATATATTTAAGTTTACTTACATGAACGAATCTGCTCAAGGAAGAAAAATAAAAGAGCTGGTAAGGAATATAGCGATAATAAAATGATTAGCTATTTAGTGATAGAGCACTTTGTTCATAATATTAATATCCATTTAATACCTCCTTTTTCTCTGCGAAATCCTGGAATTGGCGGAGCTGTACGAGCCAAGTTCGTCAAAACCTTATCAAATATCTTTTGTGTCTCATTCCCAGGCAAGTCCACTCTCAGCTGCAATCAAGAAAATGAAAATTAGAGATCTCACAACACAAGCACAGAGCAATCATAAATCTTTACCGGAAATTCTCCAAAACTTGATGGAGTTTCTTCCCCATGTAAACTCAATACTTTTTACTCAGACAAAAAGGAAAGAAAAAAGTTACACGTTGTTCCAAGGCCTGGAAATCTACCCAAGTTGCTTTATAAATTTATTTCACCAGGTATTTGAGATTTAGGGTATTGGTGACATAAACAGTCTCCCTAAACATGGTTTGGGAGATTTTCCAGAGTAATATTATCCATGGGCTACAAAGAGTCAAGAAGACTATACCCTATTTGTCAAGTACTCAGAGGCAAGGGAGTGACAGCCTTACAAGTGTATGTAGATGATATAATTGTTACAGAAAATGATGAAAAGGAGAAGAAGATCTTCAAGCAATGCCTAGATAAAGAATGAGATTAAAGAGTTGAGAATATTAAAATAATGCCGAGGATAGAGGCGGCCTACTCCAAATCTAGAATATTTATATCTCAGCAAAAATATATTTTAAATCTTTTAAAGAAAACTGGCAAGCTGACATGTAAACCTGCCAATACATCAATAGACCCTAATCCAAAATTGGGACTGGCAAAGGAAGACCATGAGGTGAAGAAGGAAATGTATTATAGGCTAGTAGAGAAGTTAATATACTTGTCCCATACAAAGCCAAACATTGGATACGCAGTGAGTGTAGTGAATCAGTTTATGCACAAGCTCAGAGAAGTACATTTGCAAGCTGCCTTTAGGATATTTCAATAGTTGAAGAGTACTCCAGCAGAAGGGAATTATGTTCAACAGAAACAATGGGCTGCTCCTTAAAGCATATATAGATGTTGACTATGCAGTTTCATTAGTCGACAGAAGATGTACATCTAGAAACTGCACCTGCTTCGGAGGAAACCTAGTGATTTGAAGAAGTAAGAAACAAAATGTAGTATACCAATCCAGTGCTGAGTTAGAGTTTAGGGTTATGGTCCAAGGGACATGTGAGCTCCTCTGGTTGAAGATAATTTTGAAAGACTTGAAGATTCCTTTGAATGGACTTATGAGACGTTATTGTAATAATAATTTAACAATTAACATTGTGTACAACATGATGGGACGAAATATATTAAAGTTGATAGACATTTTATCAAGGAGAAGTTAGATAGCGGATTGATATACATACCATACTTGCCTACTACTTCGCAAATTGCATATGTATTAACCAAAGGATTGAGCAATCCTGTATTTTAGAGTATCACTGACAAGTTGGGAATGAATAATATTTATTAAATAACTTGAGGGAGAGTGTTGGGAAGTGTATTTATGTAGAAAGTAGGGTTAGTGGTATACTAGTAACATACTCCTAGTAATTTTTGTAATTAACTGGGTTTCCTTGCATGATCGCTAGGTACTCGTATATATAGGTTTCTAATACCCAATGAAGTACAATAATTCATTCTTCCTCAAAGATCTTTTCTCAATAAGTTTCACAGTAAACATGTTAATAGGTGAAAGAATTGGAGTCAGTCACTTCAAAAGACTAAGAAAGCTACGTATCTGAGGTTAAAGTGAACAACAAAGAAGCATAATAGAAAAATCTGAGAGCATGTTTTATCCGCAGAAGTAGCATAACAGAAAAATCTGAGAGCATGTTTTATCCACAGAAGTTTTGTTTTCCTTTCCTTATGAACCTACCTCTGGAAACAAAATCAGAAACTAATCAGTAGAGCTGATCTTTACAAAAATAATATAATATCACTTGGGAAGTGAGAACAGGCATACAAATAAATTCCCACCTGTCATCCATTTACGGCTAGGCAGTGAATTATCCTTGAGTTCAGAAATTAGTCAAACATACAACATAAGGTGATAAAATTTAGTCTTGAGAGCTCACCTGCACTTGGTTTTCATCTCGGGACTCTACAACTATCTTGGCATTCTTTACAGTTACAGCATTTTCCTTAGGATCTGCAATAGATGCTTCCATACCTACAGCATAAACATATCATATACTTCCACTATATACATAATAAATTCCAGTTATTCATTTACTTTATGAAGTGATTTTCACCTGAACCTACTGCAGATATTGGTTTGAGAATGCACCCAACAAACGCTCCATGGGGATCACAGGGGCATAATAACCTGAACAACAAGAAATACAATAAAATGCCCTTATAATTAGGCTTCAATATAGTTAGTTAAATCAAAATTTTGAAGTTTTTAATAAGAAATTTTGACAGTAAACATCAGGGAACATTTTCACAAAAACGAAAATGCATGAAGACAAACAATTTATCAGATAAACTAGATTTAACATTTTGGAAGAAGAATAATATTAAGCTTAAAAACCCTGAAGAAGAATAAGTTTAACAAAAAACAGTAGGTTACAAACTTTTCACCTCCTGCTCAGGCCTTGTTCAGTTCTAGAGAGATTGATGCTTGTGGCATTTCGATGGAGAAGAACAAAACGATTGTGGCATCTCTTCAATGAAAAGAACTGTAGTCAACTTAACATGAGCATTAGCTTCCTTTAATCCATAGACTGCATTAAATTACTCTGATAATAATCTCTTCTTTTTCTTTTTTCTCCCTTTCTTTTCTTCCAGCAGTTAGATTACAGTATTTTAACTGGTTTTGTGGCGTTAGATTCTTATTCGCTTTCGATTTACTCCCACGAGCATGAGGGAAACCCACAGAACATTTAGCTAAGATAATGATGCATCGTTTGGTTACCGAGAAACTGAAAAGAGAAACGTTCGAAATCTTTTTCATTGGCACCGATTTTTTCTTGGAAATAAGTAAAAATTAGGGTTCCTTACTTCAGAATTCCGAAGACCTTGAGACTGTGGAGGCATTAAGGTCATTGTAATCGACACCATTCTCCTTCCTCTCCTCCTCTGCAGTGGGTTCTGCTCGTGGAGAGCAGGCAGCTGACAACAAAACACAATGGATGACGTTTCGGAAGCAAAACGGTGCCGTTTCCTCCGGAGCCGCCAAAATATCTGTATGGAATTACAAACGTAAAACGACGTCGTTTGCTCTAACCTGCTCTAAATTTTAATTTCGATTCCGAGTCTTCACAGAATTAGAGCCATAAAGCGTAGTAGTAGAAGAAGACGATAATGGAAATAGCCGTTAGGGCTCTTCTCCCTGGCTTAAACTCCAAGGTAAGCCTAAGTTCTCTATCTTTTAGCGTACGTTTGGGAGGCAAGAAAATTAAGGAAAAAGATGGAAGGGAAGGAAATAAACACATAAATTTATAAATTTTTTTAAATATATGTAAAAATGGAGCCTAAATATCCGTTAGTATTCTCTCTATGCACCCCTAGTTACGAGATTGGAGATTTACATGGTTTTTCTCTGCAGATAATCAATGGGAAGCAAGCATTAGATGTCTGTAGTCCCTACTTTTCTTGTAGAAGAGCATGTTTTTTACCTCAGTTAAAAACCATTAGTAGAGAATTTCGGTTGAGGTAATTATGCTCTCGAATTCTTCCTATCTAATTTAACCTTGTCACACCAAATTTACCTCCAAGATTTGGTAATTTATGCTTCTACTTGCTATGATGATGCTGTAAAATTTTGCTCCTAAGCTAACCAAGTAATGGATGGGAAAGAGGTTTACTTGTTGAAATACGCCTCACAGAGTAGAATTCAAGTTTATTAAATCTTGTTTGGCAATGTATGGCATTTTGCGCCCTCCATTATGGTTGTTCTCTGGTATTTAGTTGAATTCATTGTCAGCTCAAATGATAATCTGAGACTTTAAGTTTTTTTTAGCAAACTAGATGTTATGATTGAGAGTCCATTAGATGAATATTGAAATAAATTTTCATTTTTGCAGGAATAAATATTGCCCTTCTGTTTATTGCGCAGTATCGGGTTTATATCTGATATATTCTCTTTTTACTTATTCCTTGTAATTTCTTCCCATCTCAATTTTTGAATGCTTTTTTTTTAATGATTTTATGGTTTAACTCAAAATAGGAGTGGAAGAAGTTGGAGTTTCTTCATCACAAAAAGAGGACATCTCGGTTTTGATTTCTAAATCAAATGAAAATGGAGAACTGAAGGTAAAAGAATTATGTATGAAATGACCATGAAGTTTCGAGGTGAACAAGAAAAATAGTAATGGTTTGGAGAATATTGATAACAATTGTTTTACTCACACTATTCTTGTTGGATGAGAAGATATTTTTATGCAGATACTTTTGAATTTGTTCACATGGGTATTAACTACCTTTCAACCAATGTACATAATGTTCCTGACTAGATAAGCGTGGAGGTCTCAGGTGACAAAACTCAGAAAATTTTTGATAATGTATTTGATAAAATGGTTGCTGCAGCACAGCCAATCCCAGGCTTTCGGAGAGTGAAAGGAGGTAATATCTTTTAAGCCATTAAACAAATTATAGTGAATAACCTAACAATAATGGTCTCCAAAAGAGTTGGTCAAGTTTATTTCATTGAACAAAAGGTAGCCTAAGTGAAATTTTGTTAGCATGTATAAGCACTTTATTCTGTCATTTTACTTGCACTGGCATCGGATTAAGCATATGTGTTTTGCAGGTGATGTTCTGTGATTATTACACTCTCATGGAAAAAGTTGATTAACAATTTTCATAAATTCCTTCATCTTTCTGTTTGGCAAATGAAGTTTAAGGATGTTTCTTGTTCCGCTAGGCTGTGTTTGATTTAGTTTGTTTTCTTCTACCTGTTCAGTAATGACTAGGCCAAGAGTCGCAAATGGATTGGTGTTACTGGTGTTAACATTTAGTTTATCTTTTATTCAAAAAAGGGTCAGGCATTCCCTTTGTAATTCCTCTTTTACAAGTAAAATGCTTGGGCTGTGCCTTATCTAACTCGTTTATCCAATTGTCAAAATGTACATTTAATGCTTTATTCTTCTTTTTTTATCTCTTCACTTGCCACATGTATGTTCTTTGATGTATTAAGTAAAGCTTAAAAATATTCTTTGAATTTATCAGTGTTCTTATTGTTTTGCCGTTGGTATGATGAAATGAGAATACTGACCATAACAATGAAATAATTTCTATCACCAACCAATCCGAATTTGGACTTCGATAAATTTTCCGGGCAATAAACTAGTGGAGTCATCAAGTTTTTCTGCATGCTGTGAATCCCACTTAACTTTCATTACCTTTCAAGGTTGATTGTTTTCATTTGTCATCATGGTGTGGATCTCTGAAGGAGTAATGCCAGTATTTGGTTCAGTAAATTGTTTCATTTTTCTTTTCAACTCCAAGTAGATTGCTAACCTTTTGTGTAATTACTTCCATTGGCCGATCGATCTGTTGGTGAATAATCTGTGGATTGCCAGGAAAAACACCAAATGTAAGTTTTCTTTGTCCAGTTCATTCGTGCAACGAAGTATATTCCCAGTTGTTGTTAGTGTGTTTAGTGAAATCTTTGAAGTGTAACTAAATAAAAGAGTGCAAAGGCATGCAGTTTATGTTTTATTGCATTTGTATGTTCATTGAGCTATGACAAGTTTCTGTCAGTCCCATGAGTTGTATACTTTTTTTTTCAAGATTTCAAGTCATGAACTTGTTCTATGCATTGATTCTTTTTTTCTTTATTCGTGTGCATAATGCAGTATCGCGTTGAGTTTTTCGTTCTTTTTCTTTCGTCGCATTTTTTTTTTCTCGTTGAGTGTTGCCCATTAGATTATGAAGCCAAGTATTATCAAGCTTATCGATGTATTTGTTATGCTAGCCCAGTGACTCATGAGAGGAAGCCCTGTTTTCTTTGCTTAAATTTTCCTTTCCCTTCTGGAAAGGGTGTTAAAATGTTTTATTTTTGGCTGTTGATGCCATTTTTAAGACATAGTAGAATCATCATAGAAAAAGATTATATGTTCATGTGCTTCTGCTTTGAGAGGGAGAGAGGAAGTTAGAGATCCCTGTAGTGGAGTTGCTATGCCCCAATGTGACGCATTCAAGAAGAGTATCAACATTCTTTGTCCTGTAAATGATACAAAAACACTAGCATATTTAGAATACAGAAAATCTTTTACTCACATGTTTTTTTGAAAAACAAAAGTGTGTAAGTATCCCTTCACCTGCACCAAGGGATTCAAATCCATGTACAAAAGAGTATTTACATATCAATTAGAGTGTCAATAAGGTCCCCAAGGTTCTCAAAAGAATAAAGAAGATGATCTTTGATAAAGAAGAACACCTAGGGTCTGGAATTAGCTATTCTTAACCTTATCAAGTTTGATATTTGTGTTCTCAAAAACTCTCTTGTTTCCTTTTCTTCTACACCACCCAAAAATTAGCAAGGGGGATAAGGTTCACATGTCTCCTCTCAACTTCAATCCCTTTTAACGTCCAAATTTCTTCCCTTACTGAACCAGCCATCATCCAATTAATACCAAAAAGACCATAAACAAGGGTCCATAGTCTAAATGCAAAGGGGCACCATAAAGTGGATCATTACATGTTTCTGCATCCCTTCTGCACATATAACATCCATTCAACAATACCCTCCCCTTCCTGATCAGCTTGTCCAAGACTAAGATGCAATCTCTGGCAACGTCCCAAGCAAAAAAAAAAAAAGAAGCAATTTGGGGTGATTCATTAACCTTCCAAATTTGTCTATAAGGGAACTGTCTTCAAGTAGTCTCTCTCTTAGTCGAATGGTTGATGCCACAAGCAGAGAGGACAAAAAAGCTGTTGTCTTACAAGGCTAATAGGCATTTCTGTGCAGATTCTCTTTGTACAGATTCAGAGTAAGCAAAGGGTTATACGTATCAAACGAACGGAATTGTTGCATATTACCCTACCATATACGTTTGTCAATGTGCATACTGGCATTATGGAGGCTGTTGCAATTTCTTCTTTTATTTGCTGTGTTTTACAGATACCTAAAGATATTTTGCTGGAAGTACTTGGGCCGTCTAAGGTTTACAAGCAAGTAATCAAGGAACTAATCAATTCAGCTGTAGCTGGATATGTTGAAAAGGTATCCCATAAGTTATATTTTAACCTTCCAAAATGCTTTCAATATTAATATTTAGTATCTGAACTTGACATTTTCTCGACTGAGAATTTTTTTTGTTAGCATTTTATCCTGTAAAGGGCGTTCTGTTGGGGCTTGACAAAAATTTGGTCATATAGTTGGTTTCATCTGGAGAACCTAGTCACTACCTTTAGAATTGCAGTATGGAAGACTGTATTGGCCAAATAAATTTTCTCAATTAAGTATTATGTGAGAAAAAGTTTATAATTCCACATCAGTTAAACTTTAAGAAATTCTCATTTCGACCCTGCGAAACTTTGACCAAATCAAATTCATATTTATTTATGTATACTGACATATATAGCAAGCATTTGAGTTGTGTAAGGGCTATATAGGCTTTTAGGGCTTCTGCAAAAAGAGGTTATGACGGTTTGGTATTGTGTTAAGATGATATTCAGTCTTTGACAGCTATATATTTTCCATTCATAAAATTTGTTCTTACCCTGTTAATTTCACCTCAGTTTAAACAATTATTTTTCTTTCTAAAACGAAGCATAATCTGTTCAAAATTTTGTCATGGAAATGATACTCCCATAGGTTTCTGCCGTTGTGCTGCAACATCCGAAATAACAGTATCCTGTTCTTGTGGAAAATAGTTTTTATTCGAGCTGGAGAATGCTCGATACCAACACTAATTCGTTCTTTTTTCTCTAATTTTGAAATTGTTTCAGGAAGGTTTAAGGGTCAGTAAAAACTTGAGAGTTGATCAGAGTTATGAAGATCTTGAGGATGTTTTTGAACCTGGCGAAAAATTTTGCTTCGACGCAGTTCTTCAGCTTCATGAAACAAGTTGAATTACAGGCTTTTTAAGAAATAGTCAAGCATTTCTTATTTGTTTTTTTCAATTCCATTCTTGTTGCTATTGTCTTTCCTCTGCAAACTATTGTGTTCTATTTTCTTTTTCTTCAATCAAATTTTGTTGCTAGTTTGGAGATTTGATAAACTTTTTGGAATTAGGCTGGAGGTTTTCTAGTTCTAAGCTAGATGATCTGTTTTTAACTTATTGCAAGAGGAATTCAGCATAATTAGACAGAAAAATTAGTCAAGAATAGATTGTTAAGGAAAAAAAAAATTTTATTGGTTGATTTGGTTGCATTTATATATATATATATATATATATATTATTTTTTTAATTAAAAAATTAAATTTAGATTTTTAAATTGTTATTATTTTTTTAATTAAAAAATTTAATTTAATTTAATTATTATAATATTATTAATATTTTAATGAATTAATTTTATTAAAATAAATATTATAATTAAAATTTTTTTATCGAATATTTTAAAATGAGATATAACTTAATTAAATATATATATCTAACATAAAAATGAAATTAATTTAATTATAAATTAAAAATAGTAAATTATGATATAATTCATAATACTTTATTTTTCTTATTTAAAATTTAATTTTTTCATCTTAAGGAATAAAAATATATTTTAATAGCAAAACAAAAACAGGAACAAATTATTCGTATTTGCTATTCAGTACAAAACAATACTATAATTACAATGACAGTCATTTCTTCTACATATATACCAAATTTACCCGTAGACGACGCTAAACGTACTTGGCTGCTGTAAGTACCTCGCTCTCCCTCACGCGCAGTTCACTGGTCTGCCTGCTCCCTACGGAGAGAGAGAGCCGGTATTAATTGCCGATAATTGTTTGTGATTCTGGGCTAGATTTCAATCATGGTATTGTGAATTTCCGTCTGCTCATTTGGTTTTAGGTTCGAATCGATATATGTCTTTTCCTTTCATTTCCTGGTTGTGATCGTCTTCAGTTTCTCTCATTTTTTAGTTGCTGATCTGCTAGATGCTTTTGTTTTCTAGATTTTATTCCCATTAGATAAAATGTCCAACCTTGAGTGTGGGTATACACGCACACATATTTATATATAATATGACTCGCATTCAGAATTCGAATCTTTTTGCGTTATTAATTTACGATTAGTTTACGGTTGATGAGTTTTTGTGCATTTCAATCTTTAGCAACGGTAGAAAATTGGAAATAAGTAGAGAGTGGTAGGGCTTGTATTACTCAAACTGAATGCTTTGAACATCTGATATGGGTATAATTAGTTTGAAAAGATTGTGCCTCTTATATTTCTGACCTAGAGCTTTTTTAGCCAGATAGGTCTTACTTGATCAAAGAAGAAATGTTAAATTTTTTTTTAAAGGTAGGTGTAGATTGGTTACGCTGCCGGTCAATCCTTGCTTTGTCAATTGAAAATTTTTCATGCTAAATCGCTGCTGAAAATTCGGTTTATTGTTATGAATCTGCGGATTTGTTTTGAAACATGTATGTATGTGTAAGTTATCTTCCTCCTTTTTGCTGTTATGCAAGTGGTCAGAATGCTTCAGATTTATATTTTTGCTTCATTTGGAAATTCTTACATCTATTATTGATTTTGTTCTTATTCCTTTGTTTGAATCTATTAGGTTCTTCTACAGCTGGATCCATTCCTAAATGAACTCACCAGCATGTTTGAGAGCAGCACAGAGAAAGGGTCTATATGGGTTACACTCAAAAGATGTAATCTTTTATCTTCCTCTTATTGCAATTACCATTTGTTTTTTTTTGAATTTTAGGGATTAAATTATGATGTTTAAGAGTATTAATTTGCACTTTTCATGCATTTTTGCATCTTAATAGCATCATTGAAGTCAACAGCACAAAAGAATCAAATGACGACAGCTGGACAACCCCTTGATTACAGATGTCTTATACGAGCAACTGATGGCAAAAAGACAATTTCTACTTCAGTATGTTATAAACTCTATGCACTTCATATTCCCTTTATGAATGTATTCAGCTATCCCAGTGGCGTATTCAGCTATTTGTATTCTGATCCACTATATCTATTAGAACTGGAAAAACATATTGACATTGTGTTTTTGTGGTAATGTTGTTCTACTTGCTCCATGCTTTGTAAGAGGATCTAGTTTTGTTTCTTGAAGTAGTTTCATGAGTGACTTATGGATTCGAGTTGTGAGAATCTTAATTAGCTTAGCTGTGGATCTGCAAGAAATGGATTTAATTAATTGATTTATGTTAGAGGGTTATCAAGTCCAGATTAGGTGGGTTTTTTAATCTGTATTTGGTCGGCTTAATCTTGTGTTCCCACATGCTCTTTGTGTTGCTGATTTGACAGGCTCTGCAGTTGCATAGGCATATGCTATGGAAGAAATGTTAATGATTAGTCTTTGAATAAACTTGTACAACTTTCTATTTCATTGTCTAGAGGATGATGGAGAAAGTAATGGTCAGTTATCACTTTCTGTTTGGATGCTGGGATAACTAAGGAGTAAAAGAAGGAGAACTTCGATTTGAGTCTCTTTCTTTTTGGGTTTCTGTGGGCTGAATTACTTGTGTAAAGTTATCCGAGTAGTTAACAGGGTTGGTCATAGGAAATTCTTTGTTGGGTTGGAGTAGAAAATGATATTTTTGAGATTCATTTTTGTTTATGAAGGAATGCGGATTCTGAGTTCTTTTAAGCCAGAGTTACTTGAGTATCAAAGTGTGTAATTTTCTAGATGAGTTCTCTTACATATTATCTTAAGTTTTCACGAACTTGCTTTTACTTAATTTTTTTGACCAAGCTAATATGCTTTTTGCCTGGGAAGGTCGGAGTGAAGGATCACCAGCGGTTCCAAGCTTCCTATGCAACTATCCTCAAGGCCCACATGACTGCTCTAAAGAAGAGGGAAAGGAAAGACAAGAAGAAGGCTGCAGAGGCAGATAAGAAAGAAGGGAGTGCAAAGAAGTCCAAGAGGGCATAAAAACCTGCTTTACTGTGTAGCCCTCTGTATAAAACTATAAGTCCCATCGCCTTCCTCCTAACACAAAAAGATTTTTGTTTATTTTGGTCATTGTTGAAAACTTCAATTTGAGAAATTAGAAGTATCAAAAGATTTTGACTCTACCATTGTTGAAAATTTCAATTTGAGAAATTAGAATGATTAAAAGATTTTGATTCTACATTTGTAGATGACCCCCCCTATTTTGGATAATATATGTGAGGCTTTATTTTGACGATAATTCATCAGTGAAGATCTCTACTAGAAAAATCATCAGTTCAAACCTGTTCGAGATTTTGCAGGTTTTCCCCAAGTGGGTTGGTGGCTAGGTGGTGGTTTTGATTTTGATTTTCTTTTTGTTATTCATATAGATTTTTTCTGATTTATCAAGGGTGATTGATGGCTTTGTTTTGCTGCATGGAATTGATTTTGCCGAGAGAGTAATACCAGAGTCTCGGACTATAGATGAATGTGAGAAGGTTGGATTCATTTTAATTGATAATCGCACACTTTCGAAGCGATTTTCTTGTGCTTTTTTTGGGTTTTGGGAATGCATAATGCAAATATACATTAGTGCTTGTTTCCTTTGTGCCGTTTGTTTTGGTTTTCCAGAATTTGTTTCTCCATCATTTCAAAAACATGTAGTGGTACAGCATCTTGGGATAGGTAGGTACTGTTCTACAACCCAGCAACATTTCCTTAACACAGTTGAATATGGGTATGAATGATGTAGCCGATAATGTTACCATACAATACTAAATGTATATTTGAACAGAAAGTATTCTCCTCTATTCTGTTTGATGAACAAAATACATGATTATAACTTGCATGTCCGGTTACAAAAGTTTGTCTTTCAAGTTTTGTAAGTTACAATTTTTTTTTTTTTTCCTGGCTTCAAGTTTTTAAAATAAAAATTTATACATTTCTTCAGTTATATATAACATATGCACCTTAAATATAATACATACATTCTTCTAAAAGAAATATACAAGAATATGTAATCTGATTTAAGTTCGCTATATCTTATGAATGAAAAAGAAATATCAACCATTTGATATTAAATATTTGACTACTAAAAATAGTATTAGATACTGTTTCGTTAAACTTGTATTTACTTATAGTACAGTACATAAGAATTCTTGCTCGTTCTTTTTATTAGAATCTATAAGCAACGACGCCCTATAGTCATACTATTTAAAAAGATACTCAGAGTCTAATTAGATAACTTAAACAAGAATTCATTAATATCAGATACGGTAAGATACGTACACTTTTTTTTTTTTAAATATCTTTAATGTAAATATTACCGTATAATCTAATCTAATAAAAATAAAATAATTATTATAAAATATAAATAAAAAATAATAATCGATATTATAATTAAAAATTACATATCTTATATATTTATAAGATAATTCAAAATATCATAAAGAGTAAATTGTCTTAAATATTTATCATTTCAATGATTCAGAAGGTTGGAATGCAATAGAGGAAAAGAAAAATATGTGGGGTGATAGCACGCAGTTAAATTAAACGTAAATGAATGCTTCAGCAGCTATACAAAAATTGCTCTCTTGAGAACCTAACAGAACAATGTCAAAATTGATTGTTGCCCGATTCAACTAATCAAGAACATGTAAACATATATTAATAGCAGTTTTATCTAATATAGAACTACGATCTGCAAATTATCTGCAGGAAAAACAATGATTATGGTGACAACAGGACTTTAGGGATACTCATCAGTACTCGAATCTAACGACCTCATAATACGCCTGTACTTCTCAGGGCTGTCATACAATGTTGGGGTATTGATAATTGCCTTTTCCAACCAGTATTTATCATTGACTTTCTTCTCGGTCAGCCTGTCAAAGAATCTTTTGATTCGATTCATTGCACGTGTTAAACGAACACTCTTGCTTCCACTAAAGAGAAATTTAATGTAGTCCTTTGCAAGCCGAGCAAGCTCCTCACCGGTGATGATGTAGGCATACTGCAACAAAAGAATTGAGCAAGAACTCGATCATCCTAAATCATCTTCATAAGATGAGATTAAATTGCATGGAGTCGTATAAATGATGCTTGATAGATAAGATGATGCTTGGGCATGGTCAACAAATGGATAAAGAAACTGTTTTAAATACTTGATCTCATGCATGCAACCACAAGATGTACAGATCAATATGTAGGTTATGTTGCAGAAAATATAACTGTTCCACAATAACATCCAAAGATGTCAATGATTTTCTTTAGATTATCTGTCAGAACTCGTGTAACTTTCTATTTTGACAGAACTTTTGTCACAAGATCCTTTGTGTTTATCACAATCAGGAGGCAGATTTCTCATTTTGTCAATCACAGAAGTCTACCTCAGTTTGGAGCTACTAGCAAAAAGAAGATAAGGTTCTATCAAGAAGATAATTGAATATATCTTCTTGGATTAAGAGAGACAGAAAGAAAAAAAACACGAAATCGAAAAATTAATTCTTCTGGTTTCCTTATTCTTTTCCCATTAGAATTTCCAAACAAACAGAGAGCAATGAAGTTTTACATCTTTTCACATTTCTTCATTTGTTTTTTGTTTCCCTTCTCTGGAGATTAAAATTACAAAACATGCTGCACTTGGATTTTGGATTTTGTCATCAACAGTTGGGTGATTTCTACTGATCAAGATTTACCTATCTCTTTCCTTAAATAGAAAAGGAAAAGAAAAAGCTTCAGTTATAAATTGTAGATAGTGAAGCTAGATATACTATCCTGAAATAACTGAAGAAAATAAATGTAAGAATATATACCAGAAATATGAAGCCCATAGTTGCTAAAACCACTTGCAGAGTTTCATCCATGATCCCAGTAAAGCCTTCATCTTCTGGTCCTTCAGAACCATCTCCACCCCTGCCACCGTTACCGCCACCTCCACCACCTGGTGGATTTTTGCCACTGCCTTCATCATAATATTCTTGTTTTTTCATCTGCTGCCGTAAAAGATCCTCAACTGACTGGTTCCCCATTGCTTTCTCAATAGCTTTCCATGGTGATATCTAATAAGAGTTATCTAGTGAGATATACATGCACATATTTTTTCATGAAGGTATGAAAAAAATTTAATGGTTTACATGGTGACAACAAGGTGCAATAATGCACTCAGAAGCTTTTCCTCTTCCAAAGGCAGAAAGAAAGCACTTGTTTTTTCGGAGCGGTAGTCAAATAGGAATCAGCAGTATTGAAATTCTATAATTTATATTTTACCCACATCTTCCATCTAAGCATGAAAAATATGGAGGACCCCTTTATGGACTTCACTATTTATAGATAAATAAATACAGATTTTTATTATTTTTTAAAATAATTCTTTATGGTTATCAACATTTTATTTCAAATAGTTTTTGATTTATTTGAAAGAATAACTTTTTATTCTTTAAATAAGAATTTACTGCTTTATGGACTCCACTCCTCCCCCACTGCCAACATAGCCGTGTTCGTTCCTTTCTTCTCCCCTTTTTACCAATTGTTTCCTTTCCTATTGCAGTAAACTTGTCATGTTATATACAGAACTAGCTAGAGACTTTAGTGCAAGCATTATAATGGAGGGTCAAACATCAATACTTGTTGCAAACTCACAAATAAACTTTAAGAAATGGGGCAAAAAGTATCTATGTCAATTGGTGCCCGTTACAAATACAGAATTACTGTTAAAAGAAGAGAAGGATGCAATTGATATTTTCATTAAATTTTTTTATTAAAACATGTTTTAATCATTCATGTAAATTTTTTCAAGATAAATCAAGAAAAATATTTTAAGAATTGGTCTATCTCCAAAAAACAATTCTTTACTTTAATCAGTAACATGACAGCATAAATAAATCCTTGGGAAAAAGCATCCCACCTCATCACTGCCCTCTGATTTATCCTTTCCACCAAGCAAACAAACAGGGGCACCTCGCTGGTATTTCATCGCAGGCACATGATTCCGGTGCTTCAAGACAAGTTCATATTTAGAGTGTTTTGATGCACTGGTGCTCACCTTCAACGAAGTCCATCGGGAATGATTATAATGGAGTGGTATGACATATGATGTGGAAGGTGGACGACATGCTTCAAAACTATTTGGTACATAGTTGCATGGTTGGCATATATTAGCTTGAATATAGCTCATTCTTTCTCAGTTGTTTAATTGAACATTAAGCTTCACTGCACTTAACCCAGAAAAGTAAAACAAAAATGTTGTTTGAGTACTTCACACAATAACCAGCCAATAACTTGACTGGTACCATCAGAAGAACTAATAATACTCATGCATTTTCAAAAGAATAAGGCTCAAGTGATTATGAGTACAACGTCAACTAAGTCCTCTACGTCAGTTCAAGACACAATTAACAGCTTTGATGATGAAAGGTGATTATTCTTTGCCTTCTGAAAAAGATAAGGAGATACTAACCTATCATAATATAGAAATAATTTTCCAGCCAAAGTCCATGTATAGCTAGTTTATGAGCCACTTAAGTATTTATAGCTAGTTCATGAGTCACTGAAGTTGTATTGCTGAAACCAACCTAGCTCTGAATACACTAGAAATTCATACACTTAAGTTGAAATTTGATTTGGCTTGAAGGTACCATCGACAGAGCTATTAAAATACAATTCTAAAATTAACTGTTTTTAAACAGATCAAAACATGAGTTAAGTAGAAAACAATACACCTTAATTCAATGTTGTTCTATTTAGATTTTAGTCTCAACCTTTTAATTATGGAAATCGAGGCACATTGCGTAACTGACACACGCAGAAGAATCCACAAGAGTTCAATCTCGCATCGAACAAATATAGACACCAAATTGCAACTGAACAGAGAAGCTAGTGATTCCAAACATCGCAAATTACAAAATAGCATATCAATTAAACAACAGAGTCACAAAAATTCCCGTGTGGATTTCGAATAAACATACACAGCAAATAAGACGATGAAACCCGAATAATAAACCAGAAAGGGCGTAGAAATTACACAATCAACCGAAAGAAGTGCGAAAATTTGCAGGTATCAATCAGCAGAGCAACTGGAGAAGACGACTTATAAACGAAAAGGTTGGGATCAGCAATAATGGTGGTTGCCGGTGAAGAGTACGGGGAGAAGGAAAGAGAGCTTGGAGAAGAAATGGATGGATACATGAACAAGAGCAGGCGCGAGGCGGTGCTTTCTTCGGACATTGAAGGGTATCGGATAATTAGGGATTTACGAGGATTAAGATGCGAATTTTTGTCACTACCAGGGGTATATTTGTCTTTTTAAGCTATTTACTATTTAGGAAACAAATATATATTTACCAAAAAATACATTTATTATTAATTATATTTAACAAAATATTACTGACTTTAAGCTCTCCTTTCTCCGACTCCATTGCTGCTCTGATCATCCGTTGGGGCTGTTTGTGATTGGTTAATGACTAGTTTATCTTTCTCATAGTCGGGGCTTGTGCCGCAGGCTGCTGGCGAGGTGAACGCTTTACCTAGTTGTTTGCTGTATGCAGGATTTCTGCAGTTTCTTTATGGTCTTCCATTTGTGATCCCTTCAGATTTTTCTTCTCGCAGCTGGTAGTGGTTTTCTGTCGACGGCGGATTGGTTTGCAGATTAGTCCTGTTGTTTTATGAGGACATAAGCTTAGGTTACAATTTTCAGCAAGGTCGGTGGACACCTTTATATCCTCGAACAGCTTCTTGGTTCTCCTTTCACCAGAAACTCATACAGCGCCAGTCATTCTCACATCTAATCTTTGGTGATGGAATTGGAGTCTAATTACGATATCGATCGCACCGCAGAGTTCATTTGCAGAAGCAACTTCACCAGGTTTGCCTTGCAGGTAATACAGTTATAAACCCTTGCAAAACCTCGTTCGTGTCATTGTAGCGTTTGGTTGCTAAGAAATGGGAAGAAGATAGTGTAAAACTAACTTGTAGCACCTCATTTTAACTCGTAAGATTGACTTTTGTACTTCTTTTTGTTTATTTTGCGTGAAAGAAGTAATTTGGATATACAGCCCGAAGCAAAACGTGCTTAGTTTAGAAGTCTTTGTGCAGTTTAATGTCTCTGCTTTATTTTTTAGAGGAATTAAATGAGAATAAAGGTTTAACGGCATTATTGCCTTGAATTGCATAGAGATGGATTTCTAGTTCTCATGTGTTACAGATATTAAGTAGCAATTGAACTCGCTATAAATTGGATTAGACACCTCCCATTGACGAGGCTGCGGACTGATTTGGGTCTCTTCCTCTTGCAAGATGGGAGAGTTGTAAAGTGCACAAGTTCCATTTCCTGTTATGAGGCTATGAGCTCAGGGTTTTTTAAGATTGCTTTCTGATCCATGTCTAAATTGCATTTCTTTCAGTTCCCAGATGAGTTATTGAAGGATTCAACAAGAGTGGTGAGTGCTCTTAGGAACAAAATCTGCTCGCTCAGAGAATCTGATACTGAAAGACAAGGAGATAGCAAAGAAGTTAGGTTGTTTGTAATGGCAGATACAACTTATGGTAGTTGTTGTGTTGATGAGGTAGGGGCATTGCACGCTGATGCTGATTGTGTCATCCATTATGGACATTCGTGTCTAAGCCCGTGAGTGTTTTGTTACTAGTTTCTTCAGCTCATTATATTGGAATAACTTTAGATAAGTTACTTCTGTTGCTTCTCTAAGGAGCCTAGTTTACTACATATGGTTACTGCAGAAAATATGTTTCTTACTGGCTAAGGTGGATATCTAAACTTCAGTTGCAGAAGGGAAGCATAAAACTGTTAAAACTTTTGGTTGTTTCTTACATGGTGACTAGAATAACGGAGGAGAATTTCTATTAAAAAAAGGGTAATGGAGGAGAAATGTGAAATACCTGAATGACTGAAATCAAGCTTAGGATTTGTGAAGTTGGTAAATAATGAAGTAGGTCTTTGTAGCATAATAGGAAAAAATTAAGTAGTCTTGCACAAGTATAATTCTTGGAGTATTCTAAAAAAAACTTATTACTTTCTAGACTTTTGAAATTACTCATCTTCAGAAATAAATCAGTGAGCTTAAATACAGCCAATGCATTTTTCTTTTTTAGATTTTTATTGATTCAATTGCTCCCACAAGTTCTTTCTCAAAAAAAAAAGCTTCCTAAATTCTTACTTAATAACTTCCAAGATACTTTGACTGAATTCCTTTGGTACATTCATATTTAACTTGTAACACTCCTTTGATGCCTTGTTAATGAATTTTTTTTGGTAAAAAAAAGATCTGATTGATTATGTCCTTATATACGTTTTTAACTATTGACAAGCTGATGAGGAGAGGACACCACATAGTTAACTGATGTTATTTATGTATGACTGCGGCAGAATTGTGCAACCACTTACTCTTATGGTGACCGGTGACTCATGAGCTGTGGAGTATGGTATATAGTCTTCTTGGGGTGAAGTGGGTAAGGGCTGGTACGGTTAGGGAGGAATTATGGGCTTGGGATGGTATGAGAAAGGATAATGATCGTTGGGGTATAATTCTCCTAATAGTGTTATGGGTTATTTAGAAAGAAAGAAATCTTAGAGCTTTTGATGGGAAAGAAAACCCGATGTATAGATTAAGAGATAGGTGGTTCCATAATTTTGGGTCTATGTTTATGGGCGTGATATTGTTAGAGATGAAGATTTTGGTTTTGTCATTGATACCCTAACTAGTATGTAAACAATTGTACATGGGTGGTTTCCCCTTGTTTGGTGCCTTGAGAATATATATTTCTTAACTTTTTATTTCAAAAAAAAAATATTTTTAAATAAACTCAGTCTTAATAAAAAATAATCTTGTCCCTAATGCATAATGGATTGATTCAAGCTAAGCAATATAAAAATATACATTTGAGAAAGTGAAAAAGGTCAGGAGATAAACAGAGCTACACATGTATTTACTATATATATTTATGATGAATTTTTTGAAATAAACAGATCAAAATTTTATTAACAACAGTACTAAAGGGGTGCCAACCCATATACAAAAAATATTTTATAATCTGTTATAGAAGGATTTGTTAACTATAGCTGCAGAATTTTTATTTAAGAACAAAAAGCCTAGTTGCAGAACAATAATTTGCTGTGGGTCCATGTTGCTTACGAGATCTGAAATTAACTATTTCTTAGCTTTCTCTTTATTCCAATATTTTGACCACTGATTAGTCTATGTTGTAGAATTTAACTTCTTACAATCATGTGCATTTTAAGTTGAAGGCAATTATTTCTTCTTTCTTTTAGGACATCAACTCTTCCAGCATTTTTTGTCTTAGGAAGGGCTTCTGTCAGCATTTCCAGTTGCGTCGAGAACTTGTCAAATTGTGCTTTGACCAGTGGCAAGTCAATTATAGTATGTAAATAATCTAAATTCTTGCCTACTCTGGGCTTATGCTGGTAGGCCCATTATCGATTTTACTTTTTATTGCAGGTCCTTTATGGGCTGGAGTATGCACATGCAATACCGCATGTAAGAGAAGCTCTAGAAGAAGTAGCAAGGCTGTCCGAGCATGGATTCAAATTTCATTTTGCTGACGTTATGTGTTCTTCATGCATCCCTCAAAAGATCATAAAAACCCTGGGTGGACTCCCTGGACCATTTAGTAGTCATGCTGCTGATGATAGTATTGGTACAGCAACCAGTGCCTGGTATAACATTGGAGGCTTGATCTGGGATTTATCTGAAGGGCACAAAATGGAGGAGTACTTGCTTTTCTGGATTGGCTCTGATAATTCAGCATTTGCAAATGTTGTACTGACATTTAATGGCTGCGAAATCGGTGGGTAAATTATCTAATATAATCTCAAACATTAATTCTAAATATGGTCTCATGTATGCATTATTGCTCGTCTACATCTTTGGATGTATTGGAATTGGTTGATCAAAGAAGAAAGTTTGCGCATTTGCCTAGCAAAAGAAGGAGATAAAGGGAAAGAAGTGTTTATTTCTTTCTGTTTACTTCCAATTAACTATTTATCATGAATCTTTTCAATTTATGATAAAGCTGTAAGTAACTTTTGTATTTAATCACTTTACAGTGTGTATATGTTGGATAAATTTAGTTCTTACTGCTGCCGGCAATTTGATCTCTAATCGCTTAATTTATAATACTTAGTATCTCATCTTTTTTGGTTAATAGAACCCCTAAAATATTGTTTTGAGATTCTGAAAAAATTTGAGGATTTTTCATGCTGACATTTGTACAACGGTAATATGAATTGAACTGTAGTTGCTTCAATTTGGTCAGATGTTTTTCTGTGTCATGTGGTTTAGAAAAATAGATCTCAAAATCAAATAGTTATTTGAGGTGTACTAGACGTCATTAGTTTGTTAAAGTAGATTATATATTAAGAAAACAGGGTAAGATATTCTTGTTCCTTTGTTATGCCTACTTGTCCTTTTTAATTACTTTCGTTTTAATTGTGTGGTTGGTTTTAGTTAGGTATGATCCAAGAGAAGATCATTTGGTGACAGACTTTTCTCAACAGAGACGATTCTTAAGCGTAGGTATTATTTTCAACACAGTCATCCTTGTCTGCCTCTCTTGATTTCTAGTCACTCTTTCTGAAGATTGTATTTTGGTTTTTGCATGTTAAATCATCTGCATTTTTGGTGCACATTTTGTATACCTTATGTACCATTGATCTCCTTATACACCATTCTTGGATTTACGTAAGTAACAATTCATGCAGATATTATTTAGTGGAGAAAGCAAAAGATGCTAACATCATTGGGATTTTGGTTGGAACTCTTGGTGTAGGTATGCTGTATATATGGTTGTATATTGCATACAAGTTTTTCCCTTCAGCTTATGTGTCATTAGTATTCCCTAGTAATGTACCATTGCATCAGTAGTGAATCGGGATTTATGAAATTCTATGTTTTATAAAGTATGTGTGTGATTCTATATTATTACTAGCTCGGTCGTTTTTTGTTAACTTCTGAAGCATGTTTTCGTTTATGTTATATTAAATTGTTGAAAGCCAATGGAAAAATTTCAGATATTTATATGTGCATTCTTGGAAATCGTACGTTTGATAATAGTTTGACCTTTGGGGCCTGGTTACCAAACTATTTTGTAATTTATTTTTGTTTAAAGCTCTTTCATTGAAGTTTCCAGTAGAATATTTTATTCTCTACTATTGTAATTTATTTATTCTTATTCTTAATAACAATTTTTTCTATAAAAAAAAAAAGTTGACCCCTGCACTTGATTACTTATTCCTGTTATATATTAGTCCTGTTCATTACTGTGCTCCTTATATTTTAAATAGGTTCTGGTTGCTCCCACTCTGTTGTTTTAATATTTGAACTCTATAAAAACTTATATATTGTTGTATGATGCTAATATTTACCTCTGTCATGTCAAGCTGTTGTTAGGTATTGTTTCATTAACATATCTGCTTTTGTTATGTATCATTATGATGCTAAAAGATTATTGTCTAACATGACAATCATCACTGCAGCGGGTTACCTTCATATGATTCATCATATGAAAGAATTGATCACTGTAGCAGGGAAAAAAGCTTACACACTTGTTATGGGCAAACCAAATCCTGCAAAACTTGCAAACTTTCCTGAGGTAGGCTTGTTATGTATAGGTTATCATTTCCTATTTCTATGGAAGCTAAAACTTTGAAGTTAGTAATCTTTTCTCTTTTGTGTCAGTGTGATATTTTCATCTATGTATCTTGCGCTCAAACTGCTCTTTTGGATAGTAAAGAGTTCTTAGCTCCAGTTATTACTCCATTTGAAGCCATGCTAGCTTTCAACAGGTATAAGGAATTCATTACTGAAATCTCACCTTTAGCAACCTCTTAACTATTCTTTTTTTAATAGTTCATATATTGCTCTCATAAGCAAAGATTATGATTATTTTGGTAGGTTTTGTGTGCTAAACTTGTAATATTGATAATCAGAAAACAAGATTTTTGTTATATTTAATTACTATTTGATTTGAGTAGATATTTTTAGGTTCACGAATGATTTTATTTAATTTAAGTAGAGATTTTTAGGGTCATGATACTTAGCTGTCATTTGCAATGAATGGTAGCTCTCATTGGAAGGAAGAGACAGTTTTGCAACAAATATAACTGTTGAGAAAAGGTTTTGTGTGCTAATGTAATGCAGTTAAATTTCAAACTTTCTGAATTTTGACTTTAGTAATTAGGTGCAGTACAGGAAAAATCAGATTTATTTCTTAGTGGGGCTTGAAAATATTTGATTCAAACTCATCTTGTTAAACCATGAGCTTTCTGAATATTGAATTTGTAAATTCTAATCTGTATAGTTTATATATAACTTTGGTGCTTTCACTTTCTTGAATACTCAAATCTTGTTTTCTTTTTCAATTTAGAGGAAGTCAATGGACTGGGAACTATATCATGGAATTTCGAGATTTGATTAGTTCTAATCCAGTGGAAGAAAAGAATCAGGTAGAAGAAGCACGGTTTTCATTCTTTCAGGGTGGATATGTGGAAGATTTTGATCTGCATGGTATGTTCAGCATTTAACAATTAACAAGTTTTGGCAGCTACTATGTAGTTGCATTGCATTTATTCTTCTCCTTCGGTTTTAGAAATCTAAGAAGGTTAAGAAAATGAATAAAAAGTTCTATTTCTTGCACTTCATAAACAATAGTTTTTTTTTTATTTATAAAAAACCTCCTCTCTCTCTCTCTCTCTTTCTTTCTCTCTCTCTATCTCTCTAAGATAGCACAACCTTAAAGAAATGTAGCTGTAGAAGAGGTAGTATTATTTTATAGTTATGTTAACGTTAAATCAATAGAGAATAAATAGCGATATGTTTTAATTTAGTGTGACTGTCTTCACTTATCATGTTATTTGAGAAGGCGGAGCAGGAGTGGAGATAGGATGATTTTTGATCTCATGTTAGTTTTCTTAACTGAAATTGTATGAAAAGCTAACCTAATTTAGGCTTATTTTATATCAAATGTGGTTTTCTGTAATTGAAGTGCTGAAGGAGCTCTTTTTTTGGGGGGGATATTTTATTATTGATGAACTTTGAATTATGCAGAAACAATGATCAAGGACGACAATGAGGATGGAACTCTGGCTTTAGTAAATACTATGGAAAAGGCCTTGAAATTGCGTGATGGAGATCCTAATTCTCTTACTACGAGAACAGCTAAATCTGGACCAGAATTTTTCCTTTCTAGATCATATCATGGTCTTGAGATAGATGCTGGCAATTCTTTGCCTGAGCCATACATAATTGGTAGAAGTGGAAAGGCATCAGGGTATAAGGATGAGAAAAACAAGCAAGAAATGTAGAGATCTAATGTGTTCACATTACGGACGGGAACGTTTACGTTCTCCTGTCCGACAAAATCAGTTCATACTATCGAAAAGCAAGCACGGCTTTACAGGAACATTTCCTGCTAGTGGGAATTTTTGTCAGCAGCTTCATATTGGAGACACGGAATCAGAGTTTCCTTCAAGTTATCTCGGGGCTTCCTTGCTCAGAGTTGTAAGCTCTTCATTTTCTTACTATTCATTTTTTATATTATTTATTATCTTTAGGTGACTTGTTCAAAACAGAACTTGATCCAATTAGAATTAGAATTACATAGTTTCTTCCAATTTCTCAAACATTTATATTGAAAACATATTCAAACCATGAACAACTATGTTCTAGCAGTAAGTCGAGACCGAGTAACATTGTTATTTACATGATAATTATAAAATTGAAACCAAACTAAACAGTGAACATACAGAAGCTAACTTTTCTCAAACAACATTTTTAATTTTCCTGTTAATGGTTAGATGATAGCTGAGTATCCTTCTTATTATATTTTAGATTTAGTCTTATATAAATATCATTATATTGTACGTCATACTGACTCCACTTCTATAGTAGAGACAATTACATTCAATAGATTATGCCTACCAAATTAAAGTAAGCCTAAAAGAGAGCTAAAGAGCTTCATCATCGTCATCTGTATTCAACATAGGCAAAATCACACATGTAAACTGATAAATATATATATATATATATATATGGGTGTTGAACGAAATGAAAAGAGTAGGTTCATGAGTCAAAAGTTCACATTTAGCCTGAGCTAGTTACCAGGTCAAGTGGGTCACAAGGGTTTTTTAAGACTTTGCCTTCTAAGATCACATAATACATAATATATATATATATATATATTATGTACATAATACATTTATTACCGTGGAAAATCTGACAGGATTATCAATTTCTATGGGTCCAACATTGATTTCTTTACCGTCCATATATTAATTTTCTATGGGTCCTACCTCGTTCATTTTTCTGAAGAAGAAAACAAAATTGATTTTAGGTCATTGAATATATTACACAAGTTATAATTTGAGTATATACATAATAAATATGCTTTGATAGTTCTTAAAAATTAGTTCAGATTAACCCAATTGAAAATATAAAATTTAGTTAGATTAATATTTTTTAAAATATTTCTAAAATAAAAATAATATTATCCCAACACCCAAATCCAATAAATTAATTAAGACGAACTTCATCTTCAATTTCCCAGCAACTTCTCCAGTCTCTGTCATTGAAAAGTCATAGGTTGTATCGCAGAGTCCGCGTTCTTCAATAATTTACTCTGAAACTCAACGTTTTACTCCTTCAAACTGGTTGGAAGTTTTCCCTTCAAATAATTACAGTTGGAGCAACACCATGAATATACCTTCCCGTATATATGTAGATACACAAGACACACACTCTTATATAGTTTTCTCAGCCCCCCCCCCCCGCCGTCTGTCTCTCTGCAATTCACATATACACTACATAGTGTTTCCCAACATTATTCAGCGACCAAAAAGGATTTCAAGAACCCACTTCCCAACGTGAGCTGTTTCCTATATGTACGCATATGCATGTATATAGTAAAAAGAGAAGGGCAGAGAGTGTAAGTATATACCTGTAAGTATGAGAAAAACTGTGTTGATTATTAGTATTATGATGATGATGGCGATGGTAGCCAAAACTGCAAAGGGTGGAAATGAAAATTTGTGCTGCAACAAAGATGGGTCTTGTGGGGAAGGACCGGCCTACTGCGGCAAAGGCTGTCGGAAAGGCCCGTGCTACGACGGCGACACTGATGATGATGATCGGAAAATCGTAATTGTACTCAAGGATGAGATCGACGGCTCCAATTTGTCCTGGGAAGATCGTCTCCACAAAACATATATTTCTCATTACTCTCACTTTTTCCTCTGATATATAACCTCATATATATGTATGTATCGGTGGGTTGGGTAATAATAATTTTGTTCTATTGTACTACCCAGATGGTAAAGTCTAGCTTTTTTCTTTTCTTACGGATGTATGTACATACACATCAATAATATTTGTTTCTAAAGGACATATAGGAAATGTTTCTATTCATACCCAAGTAAGATTGCCGTGACAAATTTGTGCTTTAAGCTTTAATCAAGGTGGAATGTTTATATTAGCAGCGCACGGTCAAAATTTTTGTACTATATTTTGAAGGTTACGAGTTTGAATCCGATACTTTATAATTGTATTATAATTAGTGGTGATCGATTTATAATGTTTGATTTAAATAAACTTATGAAGAATTATATTAAACAAGTTAAATTCTATTATAACGAATCATAATAATATAGTTGAAAGAAACATTTTGTGGTGTTTATAATTTTTAGATTGGGTAATCGCAAATGACGGAAAAATTCAACTTACCCTTTTCATTCCTATCTGAATTGATTTGGTTAAGTCGGTTTGGTTCAATTCGATACAATTCTGAACCGAAGAATACCTTTCTCCTCCATGAAAGCCAGAAGCAACTGGCCCTATTGAAAGATGTAACAGAAAGTGAATACAGACAAGAGAAAGCTATAACAATCATCATCCACAAGCTTATCCCTATTTACTATTTTAGCTTCCATGGCTCATGACACGCCAAAACCCTAACTGCTTACATCTTTCTCCATCCCTAACCTTCCCTCTACCTATCTATATATACATACATGAGCCTACCAACTTCATGCCACTCAAACACACACAACCTACCGAAACAAATACCACCTCGAACTATATACTCAGCCATTGGGATAGCATATTAAAAGATGATGAAGAGTGTTATTGCATCAATGCTGGTTGCATTTATGGTGGTTCAGCTGGCGACCGTGAAGCCAGGGGAAGCTGCGGTGACTTGCGGCCAAGTTGATGCATCACTTGCTGCCTGCATTCCCTACCTGACGGCCGGCGGTACTCCGGCGCCGGCGTGCTGTGACGGAGTGAAGAATATAAAGGCCATAACTCCCACCGCCGCCGACCGTCAAGCTGCCTGCAACTGCGTGAAGGAGGCGGCTGGTCGGTACCCAAATATTAAAGAAGATGCAGCCGCTTCTCTCCCCACCAAGTGCGGCGTTCAAATGAACATTCCCATCTCCAAGAACACCAACTGCCAAAAGTAATATATATTTTTTTTCTCTGTGAAATTTATATTAGTTAGTATTGATTGAAAAACGATTTGATTAGTAACAGTAGTGTTTGTTTTGTTTTTGATTTGTTTTACAGCATTAATTGAGATGGATGGAGGTACATACGGCTGGCTGCGAGAAGATTAATAAAGCTAGTTGAAGGAGCTTCTTGGGTGTTGCCATGATCTCCATATAATTACATCATTATGTAGCTTTGATAATATAATTACTCCCATTACGACAATAATAATAATACTTTCCCACTTTCTTTGAATTTCATAAGTGTCACCAATATTTTATATATATATATATATATTATAATTGTTTATCGAGAAGTGGTAAAAAAATAAGACTTGAGTTCGAGCTACCAACTCTAATATAAATACATTAGTGTGAACTAAAGTATAAATTTACAACTAAGGTAAAATAATTATCCTCACAAGTTGAGCTTAAAATTACTATTAGTAAGGTGATTTAGCGATTAAAGTCATAAAATTTTATTTAAAAATTATTAAAAATATAAAATTATTATATAAATGTATATGAACCGATTGTTACCAGTTTATAATATTTGATTTAACAAATTTAATATTTAACTTTCTAATGTATCGGTGAGTTTACAGTAACTATATTTTAAGATTTAGTTTATATTATTTATTATTTTTAACTGATTTCGATCAAACTAAAATTATTAAGTAATTATAAAATTGTTATTACATAGTAATTATAAAATTGAAATCAAACTAAAATAGCAAACATGCAGAAGCTAGCTTTTCTTAAATAACATTTTGAATTCTCTATTGATCATCGAATGGTAGCCAATGTCATCCTTGTTATGTTTTAGATTTAGTCTGTATAAATATCATCGCATTGTAGATTACACTTACTCCACCAGTATGATAAAGACAATTCCATTCAATAAATTATGCTTACATGCAGTTAGTCTCACATACTAAACCCTACTAAATTAACCCAAGTCTTAAAAGAGAAGTGAAGGAGCTTCTTCATCTTCATCTGTATTCAACACAGACAGAACCAAACATGTAAACTGATACGTGTGTGTATATATATATATATATATATATATATATGTATGTAAAAGGTTCATGAGACAAAAGTCGACATTCAATCTGAACTAGTAACCAGGTCAAGTGGGTCAAAAGGGTTTTTTAAGACTGTCTTCTAAGATCACATGTGGTTTGTCCTCCCAAGGAATGACCGTGAAGAAGAAGGAAGAAGTTGACTGACTTCAGCATTTTCCCTTGACTTGCGTTTGGACACTTTCCAAGTCCTTTTTTTTTTTTTTTTTAATTAAAAACTAATACATATATGTATGTATATATATATATATATATATATTATGTACATAATACATTTATTACCTTGGAAAATCCTATATCATTACTGTCCATGTATTAATTTTTCTAAGGGTCCAACCTCATTCATTTTTTCTTCTCTTGAGTCATATACATAGCTAGAGATACATGTTTCTGAAAAAGAAAACCAAATTGATTTTAAGTTATTGAATATATTACACAAGTTATAGTTTGAGTATATGCATAATATATATATCAAAAGAAATAAATTCCAACACTTGTAATAATAACATATAATAATGCTTTCATAGTTACTCAAAATTCAGTTCACATTATGTTAATCAAGACGAACTTCGTCTTCAACCTCGTTAGCATCTTCTCCAGTCTCTGTCATTGAAAAGTCATATAACATATACTACAGACTCCGCGTTCTTCAATAATTTACTCTAAAAGTTGACGTTTTACGCCTTCAAACTGGTTGCAAAATTTCTCCTTAAATAATTAGACCATGAATATACATTCCCATATATATACACACACACACACACATACAAACTCTTATATAGTTTTCTCAGCCCACGTTTGTCTCTCTGCAATTCATATACTGGTTATTACAGAGATTGTTGTGTCATCAACGGTGCTATGGCGGAATTCCCGAAACTGTTCGAGCTCATATTCGTTCTTACAGACATTAAAAGTAAAATTAATGAAATGTGTATCTCTGTTCATATACTCTCTCTCTCTCTCTCAACATGAAAATTAAGAGAGTTTATTCCATGAGAAAATTACTATCAAAGGCCTGAAATTTTTTTCCCTAAGCAAAAAAAAAATGAATCCCACTAAATATCAAGACGTTACTATATATGTATATATATATATTCCCTTTCACATAATTAATCTCTTCCAAATTAAATTATTTTCTATTATTACTAAAAACAAGCATATCTAATTCTCAGATTAATACTATTTGGAACAGTTGTATGACATAATTATTTTAATTGTTAATGATGCAATAAAGTACAATATTTATCTCGAACAATTTTTTTTTAATTTAATTAAGTTCGAGAGATAATACTCAATATCATTTTTGTTATATTTTAAATTTAACTTATATAAATATCGTCACATGTACAAATAAAAATAATATATATATATATATTGTACATAATACATTTATTGCTGTGGAAAATCCGAAGGAATGTCATTTTCTATGGATTCATCATGGATGGATTAAATTTTCTATGATTTTTCCTTTTCATGAGTCATATACATAGCTAGATATACCTTTTTACAAAAAATAATATTGATCTTAAGTTATTGAATATATTACACAAGTTATAATTTGAATATTGGATTAAAATCATAATTATTTTTTTATATTATATGTATTGGCTTAGTTTAATCTATTAATTAATAATTACATTATTAAGACGAACTTCATCTTCAACTTCCTAGCAAGTTCTCCAGTCTTTGTCTTATATCGTAGAGAGTCCGCGTTCACAATAATTTACTCTGAAAGTCAACCCTTTACTCCTCCAAACTGGTTTAAATAATTAGAGTTGGAGCAACACCATGAATATACCTCCCCATATATATATATATATATATATATATATATATATATATATACACGCGCGCACATACTCTTATATAGTTCTCTCAGCCCACCTTTGTCTCTCTGAAATACATATATACACTACATAGTTTTTCCCAATATTAACTATAGATCAAAAGCGATTCTCAATACCCCACTTCTCAATGTAAGCTGTTTCCTATACACACACATATACATACATATATATATATATTATATAGTACAAAGAAGAGGACAGAGAGTGTAAGTAAATATTTGTAAGTATGGGAAAAAGTGTGTTGATTATCAGCATTATGATGATGATGGTGATGACGATGGTAGCTAAAATTACAATGGGTGGTAGTGGAAGTGCAAATTTGTGCTGCAACCAAGATGGGTCTTGTGGAGAAGGACCGGCCTACTGCGGTGAAGGCTGCCGGCAGGGCCCTTGCTACTACGGCGACACTGATAATGATGATCGGAAAATTGTAATTGTACTCAAGGGTGACATCGACGGCCTTAATTTGTCGTGGGAAGATCGTCTCCACAAAACTTATATCTCTCATTACTCTCACTTTTTCCTCTGAGATATAACATCATATATATGTATCTGTATGTATCAGTGAAATGGGTAACAATAATTTTGTTCTATTGTACTACCCAGATGGTAAAGTCTCAAACTTTTTTTTTTTTCTCTTACACATATATGTACTTGAGCATGTATGATTATATAAATAATATTTGTTTCTAAAGGATATATGGAAAATGTTTCCGCTTATATCTAGCTAAGATTATAGTGATAAATTTGAGTTTAAAGTTTTAATAAAAATGGAAATGTTTATATTAGTAATAGAAAAACTAAAATTTTTGCGCTTTCTTTCTAAAACGAAGAGTTCAAACTTATTAAAAATATAAAATATATTATTTTGTGAGTAACAAATTCGAACTTATTAAAAATATAAAATTCTTTACTTTACGAAGCTTTAATCAAGATAGAAATATTTATTAGTAACACATTGGTTAAAATTTTTGCGCTCTTTTTTAAAAGTTATGAGTTCTAGTTTATTAAAAATATAAAATTTATTACTTTGTAATTATAGTATCAGTTAGTAATAATCGACCAATAATATTTGATTTAATAAAATTTATTATTTAATTTATTAATATATTATTAAAAATTATCTTAGTCAAATTGAGTTTCATAAGTGAATTAAAACATTAAAATAAAAAAAATATATTTTATAACAGTTAAAAATAGTTTTCAATTTGATTTGTAATATACCGAACTAGTCCAAATCACTTTGGTACAATTTAAATCGAATAGATTTTGATTTGTCTTTCACCCTT